AAATCGAAAGCATATATTTTTAAATTAAAAATTGCAGCCTGGCATTGTGACGTGTCATAATAAATAATTGCTCGTTCTAGAAGCGAAAATGGAGTCGTTACTTTTTACGCTTCTAGTATATTTTCGGTATAATATATTATGCCCAGTGATGGTTTTCTTAATAGCTCTTATCCTAAAAGTGTTTTTCTTTGGCCACTCACACCCCGAAGGTATCCATTTCTATACGTTTAGTCAGTAAACTACACAAAAGTACAAGGCGTTAATTATCGTTTCCACTGTGGTTCCTTTGTGTGATTTCTCCTATTTCTCGTGCGAAATGTTTTCCTTTACACATTGCCTACAAGGTTATTTTCTAATCTTCTTCGGACAATTATTCTTCAACGTTTTCACTTCTCTTCCAACCTTTTTTTTCGGTTTGAAAAATATGCAGGGATATTGATTTTTTTGGTCTTAATATTTAAGCGTTTTGATTGACATAATTTATTTTGTGAAAGACATTAGCAGTTTTCCAATTATAGCTTCTATTTCTTTTCTAATATCTCCATCATTGTGAATGACACTTTCGAGATAAGAAAATTGTTCGACTTTTTACTACTTTCCCCATTATAAAGTGAATATTGTGTCATCATCTATGTCTTCTCTGTCTTTATCTTTCAACTGTTAATCCACCATTCGAGCAACGTCATTTAATTTTGGGAATGTAAAATAATATTTTTTAAAATTTTAAGGGAAAAATTATTATTATTATTTTTATTTTATGAAAAAATCACAATATGTCGTGCTATTTATCACCATACAATCTACAGTACACTTTGTGTTGTTACCCTTTATCACCTTACGGATGTTCATCCCTCTTGTGTACGTAAACATGCAAGAAATTTGAGTCATAAAAATTATTTTATATACTTTAAAATTGCATAAGAACATTTTAAAAATGGGCATTTAAATATTTAAATAGTTAATTTTATTATTAAAAATTTATAAATTATATATATATGTATATATATAAAATACATATAGTCAGGGTTGGATTTGCACATAACCTAAACAAACTGCAACTTAGGGTATCGTGTTATAAGTCTATAGTTTAGGGCCTCGCATTTTCACGTGTATTATTAATTGCTGATAGAGAAGGGCCTCTTAAACTTGTGGCATTAAGCTATAGCATATAAGTCCAGCCTTGTATATACTTGACATAGAGTTCATTGCAAACTTTTTTAAGGGAGAGGTCCTTTTTTAGATAGAAATTTACCCCAATTATTTTCTAGTAATTTTAGTTCTAATTATTTAATAGAAACGTACGTTTTCTATTTTTGTATTATATTTTTATCATTTCTGAAAATTTACTTTCGATTTATGTGGGAGTTGTGACTCTTAGAATGCAGTTCGTTTATTAAAATCTCAGCAAACTGTTGATTAAATATTCTCTGATAAATTTATAGGCATATTCTAGTGTATAAGCTTATACTCTACTCTAAAATATCTCTAAAAATTTGAATAAAAAATGATAAAATTAATATCAAAATACAGCAAGCAGTTGCATAACTTTCCCGGCAAAGAAAGGTAAAATTGTATGTAGCGCCATCTGTTATGAAATATTTTAAAAATTTCATATTAAAGAATTATTATAAATTGGCAAAAAGCTTAATTTTGAAAGTAGAGATGAGTTTTATAAAAAAAAAAAACTTAACGTGTAAAATCTTTCTTAAGTTCGATCCCATTCGAGATATGATACGTGACGCTCCTGTATCTCTCCATCCACTGGAGCTTTAACCTCCAAAATTTAATAGCGTCAATGCCACTAAAACATAAACTTCCTTGCAAAATTTCAGAAATTTTCGACAAAAGGCACAAGAGTTATTGAGCTTTAAACTGGGCGAAAAAAATCGTGCTCCACACTCATAGCCATACAAAAAGACTCTCGTACATACACTCGTACATACAGAAAAATAACCCGTATTCTTTTTTATTTCTCGACGTTTGAAGGTTCCCTAAATCCAAAATGTAAAAATTTTTGGTGAGAGGGGTCATGTTTTTTGACTGGTCGCCATACTTTCCCTCTGTTATATATAACAGCTAAAAAAATAAAAAAAAATTGCTTTTTTCTCATCTCTAGTCTTTAATAAAATTAATCATTTAAAACAGTAATATTATATTAATTCGATAATTTCATTAGTTATTTCATTAAACAAAATCATTGTTAATCAATTAATTCATCGCTCATCAAGCTGACTGAACTATNAACATCTTGTTCGCCGTTATGGATACAAATATTTTTCCCGATTATTTAGTTACAACATTTCTTTGGCTGGGTTACGTATCTTCTACAATCAATCCAATTATATACACTATATTTAATAGGACATTTAAACGGGCATTTTGGAAATTATTGACTTGTAATTGTCACAACACTCAAAGGGTGACCTCGTGCTAAGAATACATATATTATATATATACGTATATTTTCACTAACAATTGTTCAGATTTGTTATTAACTGGTTAACAGCATCTTGATCCGAAATCAGTTATTTTGAACCGAGAAAAGAATTTAATTAAGCTAATTGTAGAATTGCTAAGTAGCTTGTGTGTGTTTGCTTAAGATGCAATTAGCATTTTTTCATATTCCCCCACTATCAAAATCACTATCTTTTAGTAACATTAATGAATTTGCTGTAAGTTTCAAATTATAAAATATCCACCTATTTTCCTTGATGTTAATTTATTATTATAATTGCCTTTAAAATTTTTACTTCTAATTAAAAATGAATTTAAAAAGAAATTATATTTTATTCTTAGAAAGATTTTTATGCCAATATCTAATTTATAAAAAAAAAAGGAAAAAATAAAAGTTATTTTCTGTTCCATCGATCGGGTTTTTAAATTTATTCTACACCGGATTTTTCTAATAAAAAATATGGGTGGCTCAAAAGTCAGTTCACAATTAAGAGCATCCGGGAGTAATGTTACGATGAGTATTTAATAGTTTCTGTTATGTGCATCATCTCTGTATCCACAGAGAACGTGGCATGTCACATGCCCTCACGTGCCTCTCACGTGCCCAATCGTCTCTCACGTGTATTTTGGGGTTTGTAATGGCAAGTAAGCTGAAGCTGCTAGAGTTCTTGTCATTTTATGTTTTAAAAGTAATATATTTTGGCTGCATTTCATGTGCGATTATGACTCGAAGGTCTGACATTACGTTACCGTTGTTATACACATTCATTTACTATTTAGATTTAATTTCATGCTGCTACCGATCCGTTTGTTGATAGATTTCCCTACAGGCCAAGGCCTAGTGGGCATATTAGGAAATCTATTGATCCTTTATGAGGAAAACTCATATGAGAAACAAGCAAGGGGGTTTTAAGAAAAAAAAATTATCTCTCATAACATCTTCATATATCCATAATATCAAATCGAATAGAATTGCTTGAAACAAACTTAGTTAACTGATTTCTGGACCATTTTTTAATTTTAAAAATCACTTTCTTTTACGTAAAAACTAATAAATAAATAACACATCCACTATCCAGAAGATTAACAAATTCAGAAATTAATAAACACTTTCTTAATCTTAACTCTATTAAAAACGTTAATATTAAATTTTAATTCTTCAAAAATTTACGAGTAAAATCTGATATTTATACGTTAAAAATTACAATTTTTATACCCCATTCTCGGTCAAATCCCTATAATTATCCCATACTTTTCGTAGCTAAACGGAAAAAATAATATAGTAATAAAAATAAATCGCCTTACAGCATTTATGTCGTTAATGTCACTAATGACCAATATATCCTTCTTTATGAAAAGAAAATCGCATAAAAAAACTGATGTTTTCATGCTTACTTATTCATATATTTAAGGGAAAAAAAGGAAAAACGGGCATTAATGCCATTGATAACATCCAGATTGCCATCTTTGCCTTTAACTCTTCTCTTAAAACCGTAGAAGGAAGGGAAAAATTAGATGATAATTAATATATTTAAATATATATTTATTGGAAAAATGTTTACTTTGCTCTTAATTATCGCAGATTATTCGAATTATTCAATTAAATTAATTAAGTATATTAATTAGCATTAAAAATAATATTGATAGTGGATATTAATTTCATCGCCGTATAATTTAAAGAAAAATAATTTCATTTTTATGACTTAAAATTCAAATATTTAACAATTTAATTAAATTAGATTTATAATTTTAATTCGATTTTTTTAAAATTAATTCAAATTCAAATATAAAAATTATATTAAATAAATATTCGTATATACGAGAAAATATAAATAAATTCTTCGCTAAATACGTATTTTTACATATTATAACGATTTAAATAATGTAATTTATTATAAAAACCTGCTAAAATTGCTTATTATGGCGACAATAAAACGATTTATTACCTAAAAATTTTATTTTATGGCTTAAATAATTTAAAATATTACTTCTCTTCACCTTTAAAAAAAGTTATTTACATTCAAATCTTTGAAAAAAGGCTACTAAATTGCCGTTGTTTGAAGGTTATTTTGTAAGTATTTTAAAAAATGGCCGTCATTCACAGGTTGTACAGTAAGAGTAATTGTCAAAATAATTCTTTTCCTTCGGTTTTAATATAATAAATTTATTATATATTTTTATGTAAATATTTCAAAATTTTTTAAACAAATTATATCCATAAAAAATTTGTTTACTCGAAGTAAATTATTCATTGATATAAATAATATTAATTTTAATTAAATCTACGGAAAAAAACGTGTGAAATAATTAATATTTATTTTAAAGAAATGAAATATATGAAAGAAAATTAAATAAAAAATAATAAATTTTTGGAAGATTTTACTTTACAGGTATTGAATTTCATTTACTACTTTTGTGTTGTTACAATGCATTTCAATGCAGTTGTTAGATGAAATAATATACTTTTTACTATTTTCAGCTATATTAAATAAAATTTTATGCACTTTTACATATTAATTTTTTCTAATTTTTTCTTTTATTTTCAGGGCATTGGCCATTCGGTTGGCATTTATGTAACGTGTGGGTAGCATGCGACGTTTTGAGCTGCTCGTCTTCGATTCTGCACATGTGTTTTATATCATTAGGAAGATATTTAGGTATAAGAAACCCTTTAATTCAACGAAGAAGCTCTAAAAAAATGGTATTCACGAAAATTGCATTGGTATGGTTACTGGCCATGTTTATTACCAGTCCGATAATTGTGCTCTCTCTTATTGACAGAACAAACGTTCAAGCAACACCAAATGTATGTGTAATCAATAACCAGTTTTTCTTCGTCTTTGGCTCTTTGTTCGCTTTTTACATACCTATGTTTATAATGGTGACAACATATGTATTGACCGTGAGATTATTACAGAAAAAAGCCATGTCGTTAGCAGACAGAAAAGACGAATGTAGTAAAGCTGTACGTTTCAGTTCTTCTAATGGAGAAACTGGACGTCACGTCGATTTACGAGACTATTGTACGTCACAGAAATTTTTGCTAAGCCGTGAGCAATTCTCCAAAAAGAGTACAAGAGGTTCACAATACAAACCATCGGGTAAAATGATGAGAACTCAAGTAATGAACGAACAAAAAGCGAGTACAGTATTGGGAATTGTGTTCTTTACCTTTGTTGCTTGTTGGACGCCATTTTTTATTCTCAACATCTTGTTCGCCGTTATGGATACAAATATTTTTCCCGATTATTTAGTTACAACATTTCTTTGGCTGGGTTACGTATCTTCTACAATCAATCCAATTATATACACTATATTTAATAGGACATTTAAACGGGCATTTTGGAAATTATTGACTTGTAATTGTCACAACACTCAAAGGGTGACCTCGTGCTAAGAATACATATATTATATATACACGTATATTTTCACTAACAATTGTTCAGATTTGTTATTAACTGGTTAACAGCATCTTGATCCGAAATCAGTTATTTTGAACCGAGAAAAGAATTTAATTAAGCTAATTGTAGAATTGCTAAGTAGCTTGTGTGTGTTTGCTTAAGATGCAATTAGCATTTTTTCATATTCCCCCACTATCAAAATCACTATCTTTTAGTAACATTAATGAATTTGCTGTAAGTTTCAAATTATAAAATATCCACCTATTTTCCTTGATGTTAATTTATTATTATAATTGCCTTTAAAATTTTTACTTCTAATTAAAAATGAATTTAAAAAGAAATTATATTTTATTCTTAGAAAGATTTTTATGCCAATATCTAATTTATAAAAAAAAAACTTAACACACTTTTAAATATACGGCGTGGCCTAAAAGTCAAATAACCGTGTATATTGGCAATTAAATCAATTGTAATTTAAGTATTCGATAAGAAAAACCTTGAGAAAAGTTTGTAAACAATAAAATATTTGGCTTTTAGGCTGGTTAACTGACTTCTGGGCCACCCTTTATGTACAAATTATTTTGAAAAATTATTTTTAAAAAATAAATAAATAAATAGAAAAATTAATAAAATGGGAAATATATTCGAAAACAATTTAATAATATAATTCTATTACTATTTTTAAATTGTTTACTTTATAATTCCTTCTAAAAGCTTCCTAAATAAATGCATACAATTTACTGAAATATTCATAGAAAATATATAGAAAAGAATTATTATTTTTATATATATAGTCTATATTTTTTAAATTTATAACATAAAAAATTCATCATCAGCGATTTTTATAAACGGTAAAAATATTATTTTATTTATTAATATAATAGTTGATTTTGAAGAAAGTATAGGAAAAAAATAATAAAAAAAATAAATTTTTTTTCAGTTGCAAAATATCAAAGAAGTTTTCTAAAAAAAAACAATAATAAAAAATAAAATAAGAGAAAGGGAAGATATAACATTCAGTATATTACTTCCAGAAAAATTTTTCTTGTAGCCTAAAGAAACTTAACAATTTTCCTTTTATCTGTAGAGGAAAAAAAGAAAAAAAATGCTACAAGTCACTTTTTAATTATATATTTTACAACGTTTTACACGTTATTAAATTTGTTTCTTGTCAAATATATTTAATAAATGTATTATTTATTTTAAATCTTTTCAAAAATTCAAACATTAAAGAGTACTTTTTTGAAGTTCTTTTACAACTTAAAAGCCAAATGAACACAAATTGAAAAGACATAAAAGTGATTTAAGATGCCAAAATATTACTTTATAATAATAATAAAAATAGTGACAATTTTACTAAAAATTTATTTTTATTTTAAAATGTTTTACATTAAAAAAAAATCTGATAACTTTGAATACGGAAATTAAACGTAAAGATTTAAAATTTTACAACAGTTAAATCTGTGAACAACGGCCACTGATAATTACATTAAATAATGGTCGTTTTTTGGAGGTTATTTTGTATGAATTTTTTAAATATTGCCGCCGTTTAGAAGTGGTGTTTATAACGTTTATTTCTTTTTTTAAAATAAAAATGGAGTATATTTTTTATTTATTTTATTATTAAATACCATGGCTCTTAGTTGATAAATAATCTTTTCTTAAATCTCATTAAAAAGTCACTATTAATTTTCCAAAGTTAATTGCAATTTGATTAAATAAGAATATTATTTAATAATTTATGAAATCATTTTTTTATATTTATTTT